AATCGAACAGGTCGATGGATGTATATTGAGGTCGTAAGAACAGATCCAAAGTCCGTGAGGTCACGGCCCGCCTTCTGGACAAGATCTGACCGAGACGTAACAGCAATGACGGAGGCAAATCTCCGAAGTCCTCAATATCATGGATATAATCTGCCACTTTCTAGAAAATGATTAGCACTCCATGGTCAAGGTCCTGAGAGTTTAAATGCCATGGACATACCTTGATGCAGGTTTCCAGCAGACTCTGAGTGCCATGAGGAGTCAACCCATCAAGTAGATTAGCTTGATTCTGACGGCGTCCAATCCCAGGGGCACGTTTCTTGGCCGGTGGCTTCTTCTCATCGGTCTTTTGCTTCTTGGAGCAATCAATGCAAAGCAAGCCTCCATTTGGACCGGCCTTGCTGTAGGGAGTCACTGTGAAACGCTTGTCGCAGATCTCACAGTTGGCCAGCTGACCCGGTTTCGGTCGGTTCTTTTCTTCGTGGATTTGTAGCGCAAGGTCGTCGTCGTCCTCATCATCATCATAATCGCCATTAAAGCGAGCCTTGCGCTTAGCAAATTCCTTACTATTTTTTATCCTTGCAATGGCTTGCTGGCGCTTGCGCTTTTTGACCGGGTCCTCTGGTGACTCTAAGACCGATGGAGACCTAGATTCTTCAGCAGCATTGGATGATTCTTGTTCAGCTTGGTCAGGCTGGCGTTGTGCCCCAGCTTGTCGGCGGTCCCAATCATCGCGGATTTGTTGGGCTGAGATATTATTTGACTATGACTAGTCAGCCAAGTCACACTACGTAGAGAAATATCAACATACAGCAAGATAGTCGGTCAAGGCAGAGCGCCTAGGGTTGTAGTTAGTCTCTGAGTGATAAAGCGAAGGGAAGCAAAACATACGGGCCCCGAATGCCCTGAGGCCGAGTTGACTGTCTTGGTTGTCTTGCCTGTCTTCTTCCAGTCCTTTTTTTCTGTTAGTTTAATTATAATATAAATATAGGATAATATAGGATAGGATATAGGACTCACATATTTGAAGAATTGTCAAGTTGAGCCTCAAAGATGGTCTGGGCCCCGAGTCACTGGACCCGTGGCAATTTCGCGTTTCACTTAACGCGGTCTTATCTGAGATAAGACACGGGGGATATGGGGGAGGATAAGGGGGGGAAATATGGATATAGAGGAATACACGGAAGAGATGAAGAGAGATCTTTTGATTGATAATGAAGATGAAGATGAAGATGAATATTCGCCACTAAGAAAAGAAAAGAAGAGAAACTGAGAAGGGAAATCGGGAGATTCCGAGGAAAATTTCTGGTTCAGGCACCAGCTGCCTCCGACTTCATCCTCATCTCATCTCATCTCTTCCCTTCCCTTGGTTTTCTCTGATTTCTCTTTTGATTTTCATCTCTACTTTTTTTTTCTCATCCCATCTGTCTTCTAGCAAGCCGCATATCATAATACAAACAAGTGAAGTTGCGCTTTTCTAGGTACATCCCCCCTAATGTGACATATATATTTTTCAAACCTGGCTAATAAAATCCATCTTTATAGCCTATCATACCCGTGCCCACCCTGGCATTCTGTCACCTCTCTACATCCGCTCGGTTTCAATATGAGGCATAATCTGAGACCCAGAACCACAATCCCTGATTCAGACGACGATTCACAATTCAGCGAGACGTCATTGAGGAATTCATCCCCCTCCGTCGATCAAGTCGATCGGGACCTCTGCGAGCCGGTGGATCATCCCTTTCTCGATCTCGCACTCGCGTTATCCAAGATTCCGAGGCAGACGAGGACGACTATGTCGGTCTATCGGACTCGGTGGCACCAGACAATTCTGCTTCAGGCGGAATTTCAGTGGTCGTGCCTGCGAAAAATGAATCAGCCAGTGACTCCAATTCTCGGAGTTCGCTTGGGATGTCCACAGGATACAGTACCCCAGCTACTAGCGTTGGTGCTGCAGCTACTGAACCTGACACCAAGATTGCGACCAAGACTTCGGCACGTATCAGTGCCGCCGATCGCGTTAAGGAATTGCAATCGAGCGCATTGTCCCTAGGATCTCACCGAAGAGGAAGAAAACGATCCGCGGCTGTTTTGGCTGAGGATGATGATGATGCCTCTGATGTTCCACTAGCCCGTGCCTTCAAAAAAAGGACGGCAAAACGGCCTACGGGTGCTGATCTTGAGGCTTCTGATTCTGCTCTTGCCCATGCCCTTCAAATGGACGAATACGAGTATCCACTCTCGACAACAGAACAACGTTTGCCCATGGACAAATTCATTGATGAACACGCCTCGGACTCGGATTCTAGACCGGTGTCTCCGTTGAGCTCTGAGCCACCAGAGTTGCTTCATTCGGATACCTCGGAGGATCCACTAGAAGGCAGATCTCCCAGTCCTCTTGGGGAAGGCCTCAATGACGATATTTATGACTCTGAAGCAGATCTGCCCCCAACGTGGGAAGAGCATCGGAAAGCTCGTCGTGTAAGTCGGGTTCTTCCCCACATGTGTTTTTGTATGACTGACCATCACCTAGGCGGAAAGAGACCGAAAGAACCTTGTGAATAAACATCCCACAATAGGTACAATGTGGGATGTGCTCAAAGCGCAGCCGATTATCCAGCCAAAGGAAGCCAAGCAACCTGTGTCCATAACTCGCAAACTCAAGCCATTCCAACTGGAGGGCTTGAATTGGATGATAGCTCAGGAAAAGACCCAATACAAGGGTGGTCTGCTGGGCGATGAGATGGGCATGGGAAAGACCATTCAAGCAGTTTCACTCATCATGTCCGATTTCCCCCAGCCTGACCCGACTCTTGTCATCGTGCCACCGGTCGCTTTGATGCAGTGGGTATCCAAAATCAAGGAATACACGGATGGCAAGCTGAAAGTCTTGGTCTATCACAATTCCGATGCGAAGGTCAAAAAGTTGACACCAGCTGAAATTCGCAAATACGATGTCATCATGATTTCCTATGCAAGTCTCGAATCCATTTACCGCAAGCAGGAGAAAGGCTTCTCTCGCGGCGAAACGATGGTCAAAGCAGACAGCGTCATTCACGCAGTCCACTATCACCGCCTGGTTCTTGACGAGGCACATAGTATCAAATCACGTACCACGGGTGTTGCCAGGGCATGTTTTGCCTTGGAGGCTAATTACAAGTGGTGCCTATCGGGCACACCCGTACAGAACCGGATCGGAGAGTTCTTCTCCCTTCTACGCTTTCTACAAGTCAAGCCATTCGCATGCTACTTTTGTAAGCAGTGCGATTGCGAACAACTCCAGTGGACCTCGACTAAAGAGGGACGTTGTACCGAGTGCTCTCACACTGGGTTTATGCACATTTCAATCTTCAACAAGGAGATTCTTAACCCCATTATCGAGGGGAAAACGCAAAAACAACGCAAAGACGGCCTCGACAAGCTCCGTCTCATAACCGATCATATCATGCTCCGCCGGATGAAGCAACAGCATACAAAGTCGATGGAGCTACCAGCTAAACGTATCACGTTGCACAATGAATTTTTCGGTGAGATCGAGCAAGATTTCTCACGCAGCATCATGACGAACTCGACAAGAAAATTCGATACCTATGTCAGCGAGGGTGTCATGTTGAACAACTATGCCAACATCTTCGGATTGATTATGCAGATGCGCCAAGTTGCAAACCATCCCGATCTCATTTTGAAGAAAAAAGCACAAGCAGGGTTTAACGTTGCTGTGTGTTGCGTCTGTGATGAGCCCGCCGAAGATGCCATTCGGTCTCAGTGCCGTCATGAATTCTGTCGTCAATGCGCCAAGGACTATATTCAGTCTTTCCAGGATGATAGCAAGCATGTTGACTGCCCACGGTGCCATATCGCTCTTTCCATTGATCTGGAACAACCAACTCTTGCGGAATACGAAGAGTCTGTCAAGAAGAATTCCATTATCAACCGCATCTCCATGGAGAGTTGGACCTCGTCCACGAAAATTGAGATGCTCCTCTACGAACTCTTCAAGGAGCGAAGCAAAAGCCATACCCCTAAATCCATCATCTTCTCCCAGTTCACATCCATGCTACAACTGGTCGAGTGGCGGCTCCGCCATGCCGGGTTCAATACCGTTATGTTGGATGGATCGATGACCCCAGCACAGCGGCAAAAGTCCATTGAACATTTCATGACTAAGGCCGACGTTGAGGTTTTCTTAGTCTCTCTCAAGGCCGGTGGCGTGGCACTCAACCTGACGGAAGCATCCCGAGTTTTCATCATTGACCCATGGTGGAATCCCGCGGCGGAATGGCAAAGTGCCGACCGCAGTCACCGAATCGGGCAGCAGCGGCCTTGTGTGGTCACCCGACTCTGTATCGAGGACTCGGTCGAATCACGAATCATTCAACTTCAGGAGAAGAAAGCCAACCTCATCCGGGGTACCCTAAATAAAGATCAGGCGGCAGCGTTGGAAAAGCTGACCCCAGAGGACATGCAGTTCCTCTTCCGAGGAACCTAAAAGAACCAATGATCTCCATTGATCTTCAATACGCCACATTTGTCCCGAGGTCCTTACGCGAGGCTTTTTTCTTTTTTTCCCCCCTCATATGATTCCCATGACCTTACTACCATTCTTTCTCTATGTGTACTATGTAGTATTTTTTTTTTTCGCTATGTTTTTGCTTTGGGGCATTTTTAGCCTTTAATTCAAAGTTACTTGAATAGATGAAAATGAAAACATCCCACTACAAGGTACAACATAATATATACAAATAAAAATTTCTACAAGTCCCCCTGAAAAAGGTACAAGATGGAGTCCCAATGAGGTCATGGTACCTCTCTAGGAAAGTCTTGGCGATATAATCTCTGTTGCCTGCGCTCATCTTTCCCTATAGGGAGATCTTACGGTTCTTCCATTTGTAAGGCTGAAAAGCTGTCGGGTGGATTCTCAAATTTTCCTCCTTTTAATATGGCTATTCTTACTTAGTTTTACTTATATTTATCCCCGGGAGATTTGTTCTACGGCCATGGACGACTCCCAACCCCGGTCATTGCCTGTCCATCCCATCGACAAATATGGCCCAAAACTCGTGGAGAAGGCTGACAAGATACATCACCGGGTCACTATGAATGAAGAGTCAAAGCCTGCCGGAGGCTTCGATGCCACTCCCATTCCCCATGCCCCACCAGGCTACACTCTCAAGATTACTTTCCATCGCGCAGAAGACCTGCCTGTCGCGGACTTTGGCAGTTTCTCCTCCGATCCCTATATCTCCGCGCATATGGTAGTCGCCCTACCGACGCGCCACAAGCAAGACCCCGACATGCGCTTCCGCACCCCGACCGTACGTAAGGACATGAACCCCAAGTGGGAATGCGAATGGATCGTCGCAAATGTCCCCGCTTCGGGATTTCAGTTGAAATGTCATCTCATGGACGAGGACCCCGCGGACCACGATGATAAGCTGGGAATCGCTTTCATCGACGTTCCTACACTTTCGGAGGACTGGGCAGGTTTCAAGGAAAAACCCTTCAAGGTCAAAAAGCGCTTTGGGAGCAAGCGCGTCTACGTCTTTACTAATGTCTCTGCGTTTGCGACTGGTCATCGCAAGGAATCTTGGTTGGTGGTCAGTATTGAATGCCTCGGCAAGACTCCTGGCACGGAGGGGGGGTCAGATGTACACCATTGGTCCCAACCATTGGTTTAAGCATTTTTCTCCTCTGATCGGACGGCTGGCTGGCATCAAAGACCAGGTTCAAAGCAAAGATGGCAGTGGCAAGTCCATTAGCCGTTACAAGTGTGTCCTTCTTCCCGTTCCCCATGGCCCATTTATATACTAACCCCCCCAATAGTTTCCAAGCTATTCAGATGCAGCTCACAGGCCCCATTCCTGCGGAGCTATACCATCGCTATGTAGAGTTCAAGCCATTCGTAGCGGGAATGTTCCAGGCGCAGAGTCTACGTGGGCGTATCTTGCATAAAGCGCTCCATCATCAACACCAGCGCATTTACAATTTCGATCGCACTACCTTGCATGGGTCCTTCCAGACGCCTTGCCATGAACTCGCTCAGAAGTTTTTGGAGTTTGCGCACTATGGCCAAGGCGGGCGGATCTTTACCTACGTGCTCACCTTGGACGGACAATTCCGATTCACCGAGACTGGCAAAGAATTTGGCATCGATATGCTGAGCAAGCACACCATGCACAGTGATGTATCCATCTACATTGCGTACTCAGGTGAATTCTTCCTTCGGCGGCGCAAGCATCGCCATCGCCGTAACTCCCCAGAAGGGCGCGCGGAGCGCGCAGAGAATGCAGAGAATGCAGACTCGAGCACAGTGCCGACAGACGAATTTCCCGTGGAGGAAGATGAGGGCCATAATGAGGGCGAGGATCTGGACCGAACCGAAGAAGGGATCCCTATCTCGACCAATCCAGCGGACTATGAACTCTTTATTGATAATGACAGTGGAACCTACCGGCCCAATGCGGAGAAGCTACCACTCCTGCAGGAATTTATGTCCTCCAACTTCCCCGGTCTTCATGTCACCACTCTGGACTGCCAGGCGGATGCGGAAAGAATGGGAAGTCTGAAGGACGAGCAGCGCGAATTCAAGAAGAACGCAGGCAATGTCATTACGTTCCTACAGCAAAGCAGCGCGTCTTCACTGTCAATCTCTAGCTCGGATGAGGATGAGCTCAACGAGCGCAGTGGCCAACCCAAGCAACGAGGAGATCTTTCTCGACGAGTCCACGAGATGCGCGATTTACGAGGACAAGTAATGCGGTGGGTAGAAGCGGATGAAAAGCCCGATGGCCACAAGCAGAAGCATCGCTACTTCTCTAGCCGTGAGCGCCCCGTTTCGGCTAGTGCGATCACCACTGACCCCAAGCATGGGACGAGTCGGCTCGTGACTTGACTGTTTCTCTTGTATTCTCGGGTTTCGAGGACCACGTAGTGGTTTGGAACCGAGTCTCACGACGTTCACGAATGATCTTATTGATACCAGGCTGTTTTCGCTGTTTTTGTACACTCCTATTAATATAAATTTGACAATAAGAAGGGTACATTTGATGTATTTATAGCATTTTTTTAAGTCGGAAGTGAGGCTATGTTCATACAACATACATATCATAGATGTTGTCCTTAAATATTATATATGTACCCTTTTGAGACACGATCCAAAGAAGATAATTTAAATTATATACTTCTAAAACATCTATACATCTATACATACAAAATAAAATAAAAAAGAAGCTTTAAACTAAATGACACTATATGGGGGTGGTTGCCTGCGCATTTTATCCGATCACTTTCGCCCCCCTCCTTCAGACCTTTGAGCTCTCTCACATCCCTTAGACAACAACCTTCACTGAATGGTTACTCGGTTCCTTTACAAGCCGCAATACAAAGGCCATCCGACTGCAGGTTCGCAGACCGTCGATGGCCAATTGGTCCCGCTACTTCGGTCCCTTTCTCGCGCCGTGACCTGATCCCTTGCCATCATGGGGAATGTTGCCAGCCGCCTCGACGATGCGGGGAACTTGTTTTTCAAGGATCAGAATCGCTGTAGGTTAAAAGTTCACTGAAACTCTTGCCGATATACTGATGAAATTTCAATAGTCTCGATCGCATCGGTCACGATAAGCAACCCACGACGTCGTCTTTTGACTCTATCCCCCAACGCGTTCCTGCGGCGAGGTTCGTGGCCAAGCGCGATGTCGGCGACGATACTCCGATCGAATATATTCAGGTACGCGCCCAACAGCCTAGATGCATCGGGCCGTCTCAGCTAACAAGACCCCTCAAAACAGGACCCCGAAACCCCATCCGCCGCTCCGATCCCGACGTTCATGCTGCGCCTGTCGAACGACGAGGAGCTGGTCTTCAACTTCACCTTTATCATTCGTCAGACACAGACCGGAAATGCTCCAAATTCCGTCAATGGTGTCTCAACGACTATGCCCGAGGTGGCAGACACCAGTCTCACGGGCCTCACGTTCGCTCACGCATCCAACTCGAAGGAACTGGATAATCTGATCACAAGAGAGTTCCATGCGAACCCTAACCTTCAGAATAACTCGAATGTCCAGTTGATTGGGGATTACTCTACAGAGGGCACCCCGTCCGTGTCATTCGAATGGTCGTGGAGATGGAAGCCTCCCAAGGTAACGGAGGACAAAGGCGGCGGCTGGCGCAACAGCTGCAGCTTCTTAGACTACGACCAAAGAACAAACCGTCTCAACACCCTCGCTCATTTTTCCTTTTGGGTGCACAACTCCATGCGTCCTCTGCCGAGCCCTCAGATCTCATCGCCAAATCTGGAGTTACCCGTTTTCCCGCGCTCTCGTATTTCATCAACTCAATCTGTCGTATCTCACTATAGCGATGCCGAATCCACCCACCAGAATCCCTCCACCGTTCCGCCTGAGCCAGTTGAGAAGTCTCTCCCGCCCCCTCCTCCGCCGTCCGTGCCCCCTCCCCCACCACCAGCCAAGGTGGACCTCCCACATTCACGCGCAGGCGATGAGATGAGCGGAGTGGAGGATGGACCCTTGTTCCGGGCGACCATGAAAGCGCTAGAGTCGAAGACAAGCAACATGCGAAGCAAAATAAAAAAGGTGCTCAAGAAAGCCGAGAGCGCGCAGCTAGCACAAGCCAACTGCAATGAGGCCATGGAGGCGTTCCTAACTTCGTTGAACGATGCGTCCACGTCGAATGCGAATGCTATTCAGCCCGCGTTGGATCATTACTTTGAGAAGATCGCTCGGCAGATCTTGAACTACGAGCAGCTGAACACAGTGCAACTTCAGAAACTCGTGATTGATCCTCTGGTCAAGCTATATAATAACGACATAAAACAAGCAGAAGCCAAAAAGAAGGACTGGGATGAAGAGAGCCGTGACTATTACGCATATGTCAGTCGGTATTTGGGCCAGCGACAGGATTCGCTGAAAGAGAAGAAGCGTGCCGAGAGTGATTCAAAGTATCAAGCCAAGCGGCGGAATTTCGAACTGAGGCGATTTGATTACTCCTCGTTTATGCAAGATCTCCACGGAGGTCGCAAAGAGCAAGAGGTCCTCTCACATCTCACCAAGTATGCAAGTTGCCAGGCCAAGAGTTTCCTGTCAACCGCCAAAAAGGTTGAAGGAATGACCCCTCAGCTGGATGCCTTAATTCACGAGGTGGACCAGGCCGACAAGGAGTTCCAATTCCAGCGTACAGAGCGCGAAGAGAAGCGCCGGGCTCTGGAAAATGGCAGTAACCCATATCTTGAGCCCGATGCAGTGGTCGGTACGGCGAGTGTCCCTACCATACCTCCTGGAACTGCCAACGGGGGACCTTCTACCGAGGTCGAGCTTGGTAGGGCGGATAGCACAGGCTCCCAGCTTCGAGGAGTCATTAGCAACACCTCATCGGTTTCGTCTCAACCAAATGCAGGATCGGTTACATCAGCCGCAGGGATCAGTTCACCTGCATCAAACTCGACAGTGGTTGGCAATGCGGGCCAGAATCGCTTCAAGGGTATCCGAGATCTCGAGGAGCAGAACAGTCTTGGATCTGATCGGACCAGCGGCCAACAGCGGAAAGAAGGCCTCCTGTGGGCACTGTCCCGTCCGGGATCTCACATCGACCCAAAGGGGATCAACAAACAGGCATGGCACAAGTAAGTTTACAAGCGCATGAATGGTTGCCCAACTTCTAATTTTGTCAGGTTTTGGATTGTCCTGGATCAAGGAAAATTATCCGAGTATAGCAACTGGAAACAAAAGCTGGATCTGCACATGGACCCCATCGATCTGCGCATGGCGTCCGTCCGTGAAGCTCGAAACGCGGAGCGGCGGTTCTGTTTCGAAGTTATCACGCCCCAGTTCAAACGTATTTACCAAGCCACATCCGAGGAGGACATGTCCAATTGGATCAGATCTATCAACAACGCGCTGCAGAGTGCGGTCGAAGGCCAGGAGACTCCACCTGCCTCCGCATCTAGGAATGATACGCCGACCAGTCGAGATATTGGTTCTGTTTTAACAGGGAAAAGCTCGTCTGTGTCTGGCCATCACTCCTATTCGTCCTCTAGCTCAGGCAGCAACGCTGGCGTCACTCGCCGAACAACAGTCGGTGCGCGCCCGGGCTATGTCCGTCCTGATAGCAACAGCTTTGAAGAGAATCCTGCAAAACTTCTGCAGGTTGTACGGGATGCGGACCAAGGCAACAACTGGTGTGCTGATTGTGGATCGTCGTCCAAGGTTGAATGGGTGTCCATCAACCTCGGAATCATTCTCTGCATTGAATGTAGTGGGATCCACCGCTCTCTGGGCACGCATATATCCAAGATCCGTTCTCTCACATTGGATGTACATTCCTTCTCGAACGATATCGTCGAGATTCTCCTGCAGATTGGCAACCGCGTCAGCAATATGATCTGGGAGGCGACCCTGGATCAAACTCTCAAGCCGAGCGCAAGTTCCACACGAGAGCAGCGGTTGAAATTCATCACGGCGAAATATGTTGATCGAGCCTACGTTGAGAATCTGCCTTCACCACGTTCTCGCTTCGCGACGCCTGATGAAACGCTCCTCGCATCAATCAAACAGAACGACATTCAAGGCGTCCTCTACGGCCTCGCCCTGCGTGGCAACGTGAACATAACCGATCGCTCCCGCAACACTCACGCGACCTTCCTTGCCCTCGCCGCGGCCGATCCAGCGTCCCCAGGCGCCCCACCGACCACTCTCGCCGCCAGGTCTAGCGCAAAAGCCATCCCGTTCCCTATCGCCGAGCTGCTAGTCCAAAACGGTGCCGAGATCCCGCCACAACCCCCTTCCATCCCCCTCTCCCCCGCAGCCAAGCTCTATCTCAGCCAACGGACCGCCCGGAATTCCGGCTTCAGCGTGCCTCCGCCGCCGCTAGGCGGAAAGTCCTCCGCAAACGATACCCTGGGCTCGCTCCCAACTATCCGCAGCAAGGAATCTTCCTCTTCGTCAAACACTCCAACTCTCGCAGAAAGCAGAGACAAGGACAGAGAGAAGCTCTCCAAAAGAGGAAGCGCTGGCGCCCGTTTTGCGGGGAAAGTGGCTTCACTTGGAATTGATCGATAAAGGGCTTCTCCCGCGCTTCATCTTGTCTATATTCCCCGTCTAGCACATCCGCCGCGCCGCCCCTTAATCGTAATTATATCAGTGTTTAATGAGATTCCGTATGAAAATTCCCCTCTGATGACTACTTTTTTTTTGGTTTTCTTTCCGCTCTTTGCTTTCTGTTTCTTGTCAAGAATATTTCCTTTTCGCTCTTTGGCTCTGACTTCTATGAGGGCCAGGCGGTGGTTTCTTTCTCTCTTTTCACTTCTTCTGTGTCAATTCTTGATACTGGCATATCGATCCAGCTTTTGGATGGTTACTCTTCCACTTTCATGGTTTATTGTCTTCTAGGACAAATTCAAATATGGGTCTGGTCTGTTGCCTTTGCCCTGTGTTCTGATGATTTTGTTTTATATCATGTGTAGTTGTATGCTCTGGTGTATCCGTTCTGGGTGACTTGTACTTATCGAGCTTTGGAGGAGGGAGAATCTATTATCGCAGTAGTCAATGGTGACCGGTGGAGAATAGAGATTCCCAAACATCTATCTACATAAGCTATCGGCATATAATGGATGGAGCTAGTCGGCATATACATGCTTTCTTTTCTTCGCCTCACCTTGTCATCCACTTTCCCATATCTAAATATCTAAACTACTCCGTACAACCACCGATACTCTCCACCATGCTGGATACTGTCTTTTGTCAGAAACGAAGTTACCTACCTAGGTAACAGTGGCCCGCGGCTCCCCACTGACCCCAGCAGCTGACAATAATCCCAACGATCATCGAGCTAGAACTGCAAAGCCATGGGGCTGTGGCGTCTAGCGGTGGCCGGGGATGGTAAGACCTGCAGTTTGCTAGATGTAAGTAGAAGTACCTCAGCGTACGATATGGATATGGAGATATGGAGACGTAGGTGGCTGTGAACGGTCGATCAATTGTATACGAAGCAACAATGGAGATGGAGATGCGGATCCCTGCTGATCCCGGTGATTGCGGTCATATTGTATATTGTAGTGGTATAGGAGCCAGTCCACAGGTTGGTATATGGTGATTCGCTTCCTGTCCAAAGCCTCATGACATCCATCGTAGATGATTCGAGTCCAAAGAGTGGAGATGTGGGGAGTACCCATGACGTCAGGGGATCCATAGTGACGCCTAAGGTATCCATCCATGGATATGTGGCGTCTCTCCCGAAAGACACTTCAAGAAATGACGGACTTAGTCTGTTTCTTATGTATGGAAGGCAGTGGAATCTTTTGAGATATGAAAATTTTATAATGTGCGTCAGTGGCCACTGTTGTCAATGTAGATCATTGGAATTGAATTGTACTATATTGTAGATATCGTAGATCGTAGATAGGTTGTCTATTCCTATCTATCATTCTCGGGAATCTCCTTGATTATAGTTCAATTGGAGTATACTTCATAGAGGATGAGAGTATCAAAGGATATAAGTGACAAGGGAATATTGAGGGTGGATTCGTTGGATATGCAATATGTATGCAATGTACGGTATACGTTGTGTTATATGAATATATACCTAGGTAATCTGGTTCGGAGAAATAGTCTGGGGTTGACGGCCAATAAAAGTGACTATAACAGACTATCTCTCTACTATGTATATACCTTCAAGGTATAGTATGGATACCTGTACAAGATATATGTGCTACCTAATAAATGAAAGCACAGCTGAGCCGTATATCGATGTACATACATAGTAGGAACGTGGCGTTCTCCGGTTATCCCACTCTGACTAGACTGGAGACAGTATATCCCTTTTCTGGAATTCAAAAATGAATACACCGTAGCCAAATCTATGTTGTAGAGTGGCTGTTTCTAATATTTCTGATTTGATAGGAAGTTGTCATATTGCAGTGGACCTCATATATATGACTTCTTTTCGTAGTATATTGTATGTACAACATAGAAACACATGCTCTATTGCCAATGAGAAGTATTTTTCTTTTTTTAAAAAAAGAAAAAATAGGAGAGAGATATACACCTAGTACCTAGGTAATCCCCGTAGTACTTGATACCCTCTGATTGGCTGGGCTGAGATGCCGGAGAACCCGTAGTGGATCCCGCCCGACTTCATTTTTGGTCCTTTTTTGTTTTTTTTGTGTCCTTTTTTGTCTCCTTTTGGTCCCTCTTCACCCTTTTCGCCCTTTTCTGTGATGATTCCTTTTTCCAATTGGCTCCTTTTCTGTCACTTTTATTACTTTTTTCCCCCTCTACTGCGTCATTCTGGAAGAATGTACGGAGTACGGAGTACCCTACTATTTGATGGGTTTGTCTTGATTTTCTCCATTCGACCCCAACAGTACGGAGTACACTATGAAACAGGCCAAAGATCAATACTACCTTGCCTACGGAGTACAAAGTACACAATATATTGTCGAGGCTTTCCTAGTGCCTAGGATCAGACAATGCTCATGCTATACAGTATAGCACATGTCCCTTTCGGCTCTGGAATAGGCGCTCGGAATACTACAATATACAACATTGTACGGTATCCACGTCCTTGGAAAAGGTCCCATTGGAACCATCCATGGATAATATCATGGAATGATCGAGCCTAGTGGGAGTGTACCCTCGGTCTTTGCTTTCCTCATGTGGGCATAAGCCCCGGAGTGTCATTACGTATCATATACAGACCGTTGTACCGTTGTACCGGTTGTACAGCTTCCATATGTACATTGGCTGTGTCTCATTTTGCTTTTTTTTGGGACTCTTTGACTCTTTTTCCCCTGTGATAAACCTGTTTGTTACACATCTGACTTGGTCCAGGCTCGAAGAGGCTCCTCTCTCTTTTTCCCCCAACATAAAATATACCCCAATTGCAATAGCCCCGCCCAGATTCCCATCACAGCACGCCAAAAAAAAAAGAAAAGAAAAGAAAAGGAAAAGGAAAAGAGAAAGAGAAAAAAAAAGTTTTATCTGCGTGATGCACTTCGAATGACATGATCAGGACTATTTCCATGTTTTCCAGGTATAATCCTCTTATTTGATGTGGATGTAGAGCCATTTATTTCCTAAGTCGCTATAAATACTGTATATAATAGACAATATACAGTATATGCCCTTGAACCCTTATTTTCTTTTTATATTATTTATATGTTCAATATATATACGGAATAGTACTATAAGCCGGCATAAACCACAGCCAAGCGAGTTGATTTCAATTCCCCTTTAAGTCTTCAACATCGTCAACTTCACCCTTTTTTTCCCTTTGGGCACCTTTCTTTTTCCTGCCCTACTTTATATCTATCTCCTATTTCTCCTAGTGTTCCCCTCGTCCTCTCACCTTTCGGCCTTTTGCTCTCATTTCCCCATTGCCCCTCTTGTCTAGAAGTAACACAACACAAAAAGTACTAGGTATGTTAATGATTTCGTATTCTCTCATACCTGATTTGGTATTTGTCGGCTTTACTAGCACTTCCTCTGATATCTTAGCTCCTGTCTGCCCTTAAGCTTTCCCCCCCCTATCTCTTCTGCCGAATCCACATTTCTTTACGGTAGAATCCCTCATATATCTTATTGTCCCACCTTGGTTTTGTGAGCTTTGGGGGTTTTATGGCCTGGGAGGAGGGGGGGGTTAGTGCGTGTTTTGTGGTTTTTCTCTTTTTCTCCCCTTTCAATTTCTCTACCATCAGCACACACACGCACACACACACACACTTCTCTTCATATTTCCTTTCGATCCAGACTAACTTGTATAGCTTGAGCTTTTTCTTCTTGGATTGATCTTTGCCCCATCTTCTACTTCTGTTCTGTTCCTTTCTGTTCCTTTCATTTCTATCGGTTTCTTGGGGGAAGTCTTACTTGCATCTGTGGGATTTCTCATAGAAAGTGGCCTCGGGCTACTTTGACTTATAGGTAAGGAATATGTCGAGTAAGAATGTGTCTATTCTTTTACAGACACTAAAGGCTTTGTAGTTTCAACTTGCAATTGGAAAGCTTCATCAACGGCCCCCATGGGCAATGTTCCTTCAGACAAGACAGCCGACGGGACAGCCCCGATATCAGAACAGGGTTAGTCCGTTATTTTCAAAATCTACCCAACTGTTGTTGACTAGATCTTTTCTCAGGTGCACCAGCTTCAACGCCTCCCAATGTCAGACACCATCCCAGCTTCGCAGAAGCTCGATATGGAACCGCCCCTTCTCCCTTAAACATGGGCATGGGATACTCCCTCCCAGGCCATCATTCACAAGGCTATACTCATCAGCCAATGCATCAATACCCAGCAGTCCAAGGGCAAGGCATGATGTATCCAATGCCCATGGCTCCGTATGGACACAACTCTGGAGGCATGTACGGCATGCCTTACCCAGTTTATCCGCCATATGCGATCCCTCAGTATCCAGGCCCTCAACATGGAACTCATTACCAGCCACATGGAACCCAGATTCAGAACATGCAAAACATACAAAACTTCAGCCCCGGGCAAATATCTCCATATGGCTATTACCCTCATCCGCCATACGGTGTCCCTTATGGAGTAACTCCTACCGGCCAAATCCCCCAGACTGCATCTCCAGTTCGTACTAACACGAGCTCACCACCCAAACCAGGCCCTTTGCGCAAAGAAGATAAACGGGTGGATCTGGAATACGACGTTTCAAAGACCATCGTGGATGGATCGAATCCCATGAAATTAGCGCAGCCCAAACCCCCGCCGCTCCCCTCCGGTGAGCTTTCTTTCTTTCTTTTTTCTTTTCTTGTCTTTTCTCAACCCTCTCACTTTGGAATCGTTACTAACCTGGAACTCATCTAAAGACAATAGTTCCCCTTCGCAGCCAACTCCGACCGCTCCGAGTACCCCACGAGGACCACCCCGAAAACCAAAGCAATCCGGCCACGCGCTGTGGGTTGGAAATCTTCCCCCAGGAGCCAATGTCGTAGATCTCAAGGATCACTTCTCACAGGATGCAACAAACGACATCGAAAGTGTGTTCCTGATCTCCAAGAGTAATTGTGCATTCGTGAACTACAAGTCGGCTGCCGCCTGTGCCGCGGCGTTGGCAAGATTCCACGACTCTCGATTCCAGGGCGTGCGTGTTGTCTGCCGATTGCGAAAGGGTTCCACTGCTCCGGGGTCTGGATCTCTAGGTGTGGCAGGTTCCGTGAATAATCTCCCACCACGCTTGGAGGAAATCTCTACGGCTACGACTACGACTACTGCTACACCTGCGGACCCGGGTGAGGGCGATCCAATCGCACCGGAGCTCGGCTCGGCAGCGCCTGTCACGGGGAACGATCCGCCACCGGGCCGGCTGGTAGATCGGTACTTTATCGTCAAAAGCTTGACGGTGGAGGATCTCGAGCTGAGCAAGCAAAGTGGCATCTGGGCTACGCAGTCTCACAACGAGGCGGCGATGAATCAGGCTTTCGAGGTGAGTATAGACTTATATACATCATACAGTAAATTAACTCGAGACTGACCTTTGCCCAGACCACCGATTACGTCTATCTAATTTTCTCCGCCAACAAATCTGGCGAGTATTTTGGATACGCGCGTATGATGTCGCCGATCAGCGACGATGAAGAGCTCGCCTTGGAGATGCCATCCCGGCCCGAACCCCCACCCGGGCCCGACGAGCTCGACGTGACCCTCACAGCGGCGACCTCGACAGCGCCGCAAGGCCGAATCATCGATGATCCAGTTCGGGGTACTATCTTCTGGGAAGTTGAGTCGTCGGAGGATGAGAACGACGACGCCAGCGAGAAGAGCGTCGAGCCCGAGGATCCGGAGGAAGGTCAAACCTTTGGTAAACCGTTCCGCATTCAATGGATTTCGACGGAGCGGGTGCCCTTTCAACGCACCCGTGGCCTCCGTAACCCCTGGAATGCGAATCGGGAAATCAAAATTGCTCGTGATGGCACTGAAATCGAGCCGACGATTGGCCGTAAGCTGATTCAGCTGTTTCACTTGCCTTGAGTTGGGTATCCTGATTTTTGGGGATGATCTCCTGTCTGTCATCAATAGCCCTATAAAGACATTGATGGAGATTTTCTTCCGTGGACCAACACTTCCAACACTTTTTATGGGAAACGAGAAATACACGATGTACGTCCATATTTGATTTTATTTGAACAATGCTTTTCCCCTCCTTTTTTTTTTTTTCTTTTCTTTTCTGCAGGGATTAGCGTTCATTCTGATACCCCCCCCCCCCCTCCTTTCTGTAAACCTGACTATTTTACTGTTATATATGAAGTCACCATGATATATATCCATATATCCTATCCTACCTAAGTATATATGTGTATATATATATAATTGCCTTATATAACCTGCTACTCTAACCCAATTCTAATAAACTACACTAAAATAGACCAATAAACTGCCAGATTAATAGACTAAATCCCCCGACAGACCAATAAGAACCCCAATTCCCCCCCCTCAAATGAATGCTTAGTCAGCCCGTCGACATCACCACTCTCCACTTAGCGCCACTTTCCCCAGATAATCGGATGCTTAGCTCTCTTCTGCTCTTCGGTGAACTCGTATATCTCCCTTTTCTCCCTTTCCTTCATTTTCTCCCTCTTCTCCCCTCTTCTCCTAACTTCTAACTTCTTCTCCAGACCTTTTTCATTTCATCTGACATTTGACATCTTCCAATCTTCCAATCTTTCATCAAACCAGGATCCCCCCAACCATCATACCATCATACCACCCCCTCCCTTCCAAGTGCTGAGACCCAATCTCGTCACTTTGATCTTCCTTCATTCTCCAATCCTCTATTCTATGAAAAGGGCGGCTAGTCCGTCCACATTTTTCAACTCTCAGCTCAGGCCCCCCTTTATCTGACAATGTCCAACGATCCCACCTCCCCCATCTCGGTCCCACAAGCGGATAACCGTCGACGTCGTGGTTCCATCGCCGACATCTTCTCCAAACCGAGCAACCCACCCAACACCCAGGGTGCAAACCAACAGTCCAACCAGCGTCGGCTGTCAATCACCACGCTTGGCCTCTCCGGTTCCCCAACCCAAGCATCCCCTTTCAGTGGCAACCGTAACTTCCGCCGGGGCAGCCTATCCAGCTCAATGGGCTCCAACGTCCCGGCCGAAGATGCTCTCGAGGACGAACAAGCAACAGGAACCTCACCCAACTCGCAATTCGGGAGACGTGTCTCCTTTGGTGCACAGGCCCTGCGTGATGCTCGAGCAGGAAGCATAGGCAATGGTAGAAACTACCCCCCTCCGTCTGCCGTTAGCCAGCCCCGTTCCCCTCCGGCTGGCTCAGCCATCCTTACTACCCGATCTTCCGCAAGTACTTCAACCTCTCCTCAGAATGAGAGATCTAACGCATCGCGCCGACCCTTAGGCGAAGGCTTTAACTGGTCAGAGGCCCTCCGCTCCCGTGCCGAGCGTGCCCCTTCCCTCGGCGGCCCCGTCTCCCCACAGGCAGCCCAACGTTCTAGCGGTCACCAGCGTGCCGCTTCCATCGCGTCTATGGAGCAACCTAGCCGGGAAATGCCCCGTCAGCCTAAGCAGAATAAGCCGGATTTCTTCCAGGAGAAGATCCTGAGAGGTGACTTTATGGATTAGAGATTAGTCCTTGTCACTTTTCAAGGGAAGTATATCATGACGCTACTAGGCCTCTCAGGCTTCTTTTCTTTTTAACTGTTACTTTTTTTCTGCATTTGACGCCAAAAGTCTCGACGGACTTGTATCAATTCTGGGTTTCCATCCTCTCGATGTGTCTTCCCAACTCTTTCCTCTTTCTGCAAATAGGTGGAATATGTATCAAAATGATTCATGGAGGATCATCAACCTGTGTCTTTTTTTTCCCAGCTCTGGGATCGGCGTTTTCATATGTTTCTGAGCCTTTTTCTTTTTTTTTCCCCCTTTTACCCATCCCGTCCTGGTGATGCGGATGATTTTATTCTTATATGACTACCCAAATTGACACCCACTGGTCACTGATTCACTGATTATTGGACTAATAAATTGCATTTTGAAGTATTCTATATTCCTTCCGTTATTTTCAGTATGTACACTGAAAGTATGTTCATTATTCCCCAATATCACACAGACTTCCCCCTCCTTCGGTCCATACATATACAACCCACCACTTCACCACTTCAACTCTCTTCGTGTCACCCCAATATCGCCCAATGTCGCCCAATGTCGCCCAAGCTCAAATTCTCTCCCAATTCTCAAGAGAAATGCGAAGGTCCAGTCCCAGCATCATCACCAGTGTCTGCAGTCTCCGCATGTGAATGACCAGGCACCCCTTCCGTCTGCTTCCTGCTCTCCGCACTCTGCTCTTCCTTGGTATACTTCTTCGCAACCTTCCGATCCATAAGCTGATCAGTGGTGAGCCGATTCTCCGGCTCCGGTGGCTTCCACTTGCTGCTCTTCCACGGCGGCACACGCATAACATACATCATATCCATCTCCTCGAGCGTCTTATCCTTCCCCTCGATAACGAAGAAGTAGACAATGATCACCGCGAAAAACAAACACCCGGCAAACACATACCCATACGCAAAGTCAATATCGCCAGTGATAAACGGCGTGAAGAATCCAATCAGGAAGTTCCACAGCCAGTTCGACGCAGTCGCCATCGCCATAGCCCGCGCCCGGTATCGCGATGGGTACAGCTCGGCCACAATCGCCCACACCATCGGGCCCCAGGTCATGGCAAATCCAGTGATGAACAGACAAGCAAACACAACCATTGCTTTGCCCGCTCCGGGCGTGTTACGCGGCGTATTAATGTCAAGCGAGAAGTGGCCCACAGATGCAAATATCATAAAACAGATGAACATCCAGATCCCGCCTGCGATCAGGGACTTGCGTCGTCCGAAGTGCTCGATCACGTATAGTCCGCCGAATGTGGTGCCGAAGTTCACTCCTCCCAGGATCATCTGCGTCACGTATGTGTTATCGATCCCTGCCCCATTGAATATAACCGTTCCCTAGGTACATATTAGCCGAGCTCGATGCGTATCGAACTACACCGTTGGAAAGAAACACTCACATAGTAGAAGAAGTAGTTGGCACCGGTCAGCTGCTGCAGAGCTTGGAGCACAACGCCAAGTACGATGCGGTACGCCATGCGCGGCGCCTTGAACATCTCAATCCAACCGCGGATTCCACCCCCCGCCCCCTTTTCGGCATCCAGCTGTTCCTGGATCTCGGCAATCTCATGCACGACCACCCGGTGGTTCTCTGGAACGCCATACAGCTTCGACATTGTGCGTCGAGCGCGGTCCACACGACCATGCCGGTAGTCATAACGAGGACTCTCCGGGAAGAAGAGGATGCCGATTCCAAGGACGAGGCCCCACAGGAATGTGATACCGAGGGGGGATTCGCCACGAGGCAGTATTTTCCATACTCTCTGTGCCGTAGTTGATGCAGTATGCGATGAATATGCCCAGTGTTACGAATAATTGGTAGGAGCTGGGGTTGTGTTAGGGTTATGGTGGGTATATTGTAATGTTGACTGTTGGATTATCACTTACCACACCATCGCTCCTCGGATGTGTCGTGGTGCAATCTCACCCTGGTACATGGGCACCAGCAGTGAACAGGCTCCCACGCCGAATCCGGTTACGAATCGTCCCATCATGAACTGGTACCATTTCCCTGATGGTGAGGAGATCTGAATGATCAGTCCGATATGGAGGATGATGCACCAGAAGAAGATGGACCATTTCCGACCAATTCGGTCGGTCAATGGTCCGGCGAGCAGAGCTCCTATCAATGTACCGATGGAGAGCTGGAAAGGCGTTAGGATTTCTCACATCCACACACATACACACACATTCTTCTTTCGACTTCGTCGTTCAAAGACATGCAACGATATCCACTCACCATGGAAACAATCAATCCAGATCGGACATTGTTAAACTTGTATGACCCGTCCGGCTTCAGCTGAGCAAACCGCTGCTTGAAGTTATGCATCTCCAAAAAGCCCGATATCTGACCAGTATCGTATCCAAAAATGATACCACCAATCGAGACAAACGCACCTAGCAACAGAGACCTCCATGTCACCCATGGCACACGCGACTCGTCCAGGTTGCTGCCTCTCTTTTCGCGATCTGATATCGCAGACTCCCCGGACAGGTCAGTCAATGGCGGGGACTTGGTCCCTGTCCCTCCACCGCTGAGCTTGTTGAGGAATGGGATTTTCATCCTGGAGAAGGGAGATTGGAGGTGTATACAATATGCAGAATATATAGTTTCATGCGTCAATCTGGGATTGGGTTGGCTGGGATTGGGTTGGCGTTGAAGGCCGGGAAATTGGACTGTGTCCAAGGCTTGTCTTGCACGTTATAAAGGCCTAGCCAAGTCAAGTGTCTTTGCATCGTCATATTGCCACTTCCGGAACGGTTCTCGGACCTAGTAAGATGTAGATCGTCATGCATTGAATGCGCCACTGAGGTCAATTGGAGTGTATGTTATTATATTTGTTATACATTGAGATATCATGGTCATTGTTGATATTGGGGTATTTGTATATGATTATAAGTGCGTTTTTCATTGGAAGTCATTTATTTTATCCTATTTTACCTACAATCCATCTTCATCATAAAATCAGCCTTGTCCGGGGTATATTGTCCGATGTCGTGGTGCCGACGAAGTCGTGACGTCAACCACACTTTATAAAAAATAGCACATTGAACTTTTTCTTACGATCTCCAGGCGAATATCTAGATAGGGAAGTACAAAGAAGATATCCAATGCAAATTAAATCTGTAGAGAATTTTTTAAAAGTTGACATGTGTTATATAAGTTGAACTCATATCAGTAAGGAATACCGTTGGTCATCAGTTGGAACTGATCATAACCTTTAGTAGACATGCTCATATACGACTTGCGCACAAGTTCCCGCATGTACTCGGCCGCATCGCGCTCGCTCTTGTCCAACACAAACCGGTCACGGAAATTCTTCAGTGTCTCGGGTTTGAAGCACGGAAGACCACTGTCAAGCATGAGGGAGACAATATGAGCCAGCTTCGTGCTATAAGGGCGAGATGCAAGGAATGCTTTCACTACCAACGACTCGAACCATCGGTATGGCTGCGTGTTGGTCGGGTTGTGGGAGCTGCCTGGCAAGTTGATGCCTGAGTTGCCGCCCTGGTGGTGGGCTGGGTCATGGGTTCCACTCATGACGGCGACCATCTCCGAGGTCAACTTGAACGGCGCGCGCTCGAATCGTACTCCACCAGGCGCAATATCAAAGCAGAATCCGAAGTCAATGTGAATGATATGGCCCGCATCATCGATCATGATGTTTCCGTTGTGTCGGTCCTTGAATTGCAGCAGGTAAGAAATGACTGAGTAGGCAGCCATGCTCTTGACGAAGTTGGTGCGCGCTTCTTGGAATCGGATAGAGTCCTCGCCACCGTATTTCGACACGAAGTAGTCATATAGCCCATTGACGGCCTCGCGGCCGAGCATGTCGCGAGAAATGGAGTTGGGAAGCACGTCAATCACACCACAGCCAGGCGCGGTTGAAGTCACCCGGTAAGGGTACACCCAAACGTCCAGACCAACACTGGTGAAGATGCTCCTGAAGGCCGCAATCATTTGCAGGGCAAGCATGTCCTGGCGACAGTCGTCACCGACCTTGAAGATCGCTGACTGCCATACTTCGTATGTCTCCTGCTCAGGCTCGGAATGATGCGTCAATTGGCGCTGGTGGTGGTGGTGGTCACCAGCGTTGGCCTCGGTCTTTTCAATCATTCGTGGTCTTGTCTTCTGGATGCGGAAGGTCGCCATATATGGCGCTTTCGCATGACTCTGCAATGGCTTACCAGACTTGCGGTCGATGCCAACGACTACACCGTCAGGGTTGCTGGGAAGGTACACTCCAACTTCCACCTTGATCTTACGCAACTCTTCCTCAATCTTTTCTTTCTTCTCGGGCTTACTCCTCTTGATATACGGGCGAAGTTTGCCAGAGACGCCCGTAACTTCATTGAAGAACGAAAACTCCCTCTCATAGAACGCACGCTCCTCGTCCGAGAAGCTGTTGATCAAGTTATCTAGGAAGCGGTCGAGTGTATCTTTGATAGGGTCCGGCTGTTAAAGCAAAACGTTAGCTAACGGTGACCAAACTTTTGAGAATATCAATACTTACGATCTGAGAATCTTCGTCCTTGAAGGAGTTGGCCTTCATGTTCCAAATAACTTGGTGGGCAAACAGCTGATCCAACCTGGCTGTTTCGAGGATGTAGCGGTCTACATAACCCAGAGCATCGAAGCGAAGGGCTTGAATGAGTTGTGGCACAAAGTAGAACCGAACATCCATCGAATAGCTCTCCAACGCTCGCATGGCGTACTGCAGGATGTAAGGATGGTTGCCGTAAGCGGGCATGAAGTAGGTGATAGCCTCCGTAGGAGTAACGGGAGCCCAGTATAGCATGTATTTCAACTGGGAACCGACATCAGTGGGCAGACAGTTGTCAAACATTATCTCCAGAGCGCTTGGCTCTTCAATGACCTTCTCGGGGAAACTGAGTATCAATGATCTGACATCAGCCTGCATTTTGGGTGACGGGAACCGGGCAGCCATCTGAATAGCCAACCCTGCATTTTCCGCCCAGGCAAGCCGAAGTAAAGATACGGGGCCGTCATCGGGATTTCTGCCACCAATCGAAGGGATGTGGTGCTTTCGCTCCGGGTCAAGGGGAAAGAGCCAAACTCGAAGGCGGGATCGTTCGTTCTCCACGAGGACTTGAAGCAGGTTTTGTTTGGCCTGCAAAGACTTGCATGACCCTTGGGCATTGGCAGCGATACCGGCAACGGCTCGTAAAGCCGCGGTCACCTCGCTAAGGATTCTGTCCTCTGCCTTAATCTGCAGCCGATTGCCTCCGAATGACCACCTTGGAGGGTGCTTAAACCAACTCAACGCAGCGGACAGAATCTGATCTTTGAGTTTCCAACATGCGCTACTGTTTCGGGGGCTGAGATGCCTCAATACCTTGAGACCAAGGAGCACAATTCGGAAATGAATTTCCCTTGCCAAAGGGTGGCCCTCGGTCTTTGAAAGTCCAACAGTCGTACTGCCAATCAAGCGATAGAACAGCTGTTGGTCCTGCAGATTTCCTAGGCGGATGGCATTGAAATGACTCTCAAAGAAATGTAGAACTCGCAGGTGTGGCGAGAGAGTGTCTTGGGCTTTTTGCTGCATGCGGAGCATAAGATCCTTGTCAGTCGGCAGAAGTTCAATCTTAGTATGCAGTGGGTCAAGGTATTCAAAGGAAGGATCGAACAATCCTTTACGGCGCTTCATGCTTCTCTCCCAAGCCTCAATCACCTCGCACAGGATTCGTGGCTCGGTGCTTGGGTTCTCGTGAATGACACCAAGCCAGAGAGATACACCAAGCTTGACTGTCTCCTTGGTGAAAATCTGGAAAGGCAAAGCAACCAAGTAGTGAACCACGGAGAGTCGTGGTTTGCTGCTGCTGCAAATAAGTCCCGCGGCCTGTCGAAGAACATCTCTAACTTCTATAAGGGGAATATCCTCGCCAGCAATGCTTCGCCCATATAGACGAGAGAGGGTCTCTTCCAAAGAATCGGCAGACTCAGGCAACAGATTCACGCGAGGCTGTTCAACATAGACGTTATAAATATTCCCCCCCAGGCCTCCGAGAGTAGACATGTCTGGACGTCGGTACTTCTGGCGCGTCGTGTATAGTGCCATGAAATCAGATGCAACATTGAAGTCGCTGCCTCCGTAGCCATCGATTGATCCAAGCCGTGGGTCGCTTTGTGGGATAAGGGAGCCCATTTCGAGAGCGAATGAACGTCCCATCGATATGTGCCCATAGCCACCGTCATCGTCATACTCGGAAAGATAGGTCTGCAGTAATCCTTTGATATCTAATGGGGCAATGTTCAGGACGGTCGTCACCCAGGTCCTGGCTCGTTCATGGAACCGATTCAGAGTCGCCCTTCTCAAGGCGTAGTTGTCGGGCAATTCAACCTTAACAATGCCCATGGGAGACACCAAGGACGGTTTCCACTCAAACTCATCGAGTTCTCCTTGAAGACAGGAAGACCACATGACGGTCAGGATCTCAAGCAAAGCAAAGAGCGAATGCTTTTCGCACAAGGCAGAAGGGCATTCACGAATGATCTTGTCGGCACACAGCGTTGCAATACTTTGGACCCTCTCAATACGATGACAGCAAGCCACCAGGAATCCCGCAAGCTGCTTCGACAGGTAAGGGGTCGAAAAGTCATCGTGCTCCCCTGACAGTGTGAGAGACAGATAACAAGTGACCGCTTTGTCTGCAACAGCATTCATGCACGCGAGCATCTCCGAAGTGGCCAAGGCTGGGTCAAGGAAATAACTGAGCGTCTTGGTAGAGTCCCCCGAGGAGGCGCGGAGGCTTTCGACCAAGACTACAGCGTTAAGAAACACTGCTCTAGAATAGTCTAGTCTCTTGATATCAGATTCTCGGCCAGGGAGTTCAGAGATCAAAGCCCTCTTCTGTTCCATGGCTCGCTGCAGTCCCATCCCGCGCCTGAGCACCGTGTTCAATTCCACATCGCTCTCTAGAGAGTCCATGTGGTTCTCAGCAACTAGAGGAGGAGAATGATGCGCGAGAAGGCGAAGTTCCTTGTTATACCGTTGGGCAACACTAGAGCTGATGGATATTCCATGGATGGCGATGTTGAACCAAGCATCTCGGAATAGAGTCAGTATGGCTTCATCATACTCAAAGGCTGACTGGGAAGCTCCGGTAGAACTAGAACTGCCATTGGAAGACACAAGTAGAGCTAGCGGTTTCAAGAGGGGGGTGATATCATCAGCGGCAAAAATAATTTCCTTGTGCCGCTCATACTCGAAGTCTGGCACATCACCCTTGTTTATAATGCTTTCCAACAAATGGACCAAATAAAGCCTGTGGAGCGGTGACTTTCGATCCAAAGTAATCGAGAGGTAAGCCATGGCACATTGAACAGCATCAGAGATGGTGTTCAGTCCTTTATTAACGCCATCAAGGTAGATACGTGCGTAGAACTTCAACAGAAGCTGGAACTCGGCTTGTCCACCGCCCAAGGCAAGAACGGCGGTTTCCTGGATGATAAAGGCATCAACTGCGACACTGATCTTGCCAATCTTTTGTAGAAGCATAGACTGGGCCAAAGCACTGATTTTGTCGTCATTGCAATTAGCC